CAACAAGATATGGTTGAAGTAATGTCCCGTGCATCCGATGTGGTTATATCTGTAGTAAATGATATCCTAGATACAGCCAAACTGGATGCGCGTAAGCTTACATTGATAAACCGCGTCTTTGATTTATGGTCGCTTGTAGAGAAGACGGTGACAATTCTTGGTGAACGTGTTGGTGCAAAGGAGCTCGAATTGATCGTTCTATACGATCCGGAGACTCTTTCGAGATATGTAAAGACGGATCCAGAGAGGTTACAACAAGTGATAATGAATCTGTTATCTAACGCGTAAGAATGTCATTTAGTTTGGCTATAATCGTAAGTGGATACGTTTTCTAATGATTGTTAAATTTATAGAATCAAATTCACAGATAATGGCGAAATTGTAGTGAAATTATCAATAAGAAATAGCGAAAACATTGCGGTAGTTGATAACCCTGACTCGAACAAACTTTTGTGCGTGGAAATATTTGATACTGGTGTTGGGTAAGATGCTGCTTTTGTCTCATGCTTCTTCCATCTTTCTCTTTTGACCTTACATCCGCGTATTTTGGTCCAATTAATTTAGCATTGACCCGGCATCGATTAAACACATTTGGGAAAACTTTTCGCAAGTAGATGCTTCGATGACTCGAGGTCGAGATGGAACTGGTCTAGGTCTCTCTCTATGCAAAAGTCTTGTTGAACTAAACGGCGGTAAAATTGGAGTTGATAGCGAAGTTGGTAAAGGAAGCAAATTCTGGTTTACGTGGAATATTGGGAATATATCCTTACCGTCAATACCGAAGCTACCATCTCGAGATGATAGTTCCAATTTGCAAGGTCAGCTGAATCGGGCTAGAAATGTTCTTATAATCGATCCCGTGGAAGCAGCAAGATCAGCGTACGCGACGTTGATTAAGGGGAGTGTTGAAAAGGTATATACGTATGCAGATTATGCAAGCGCACTAGAAGCGGCCAGAGAGCATAGGAAGAAGCACGACGAGCGTATATGCGATCTGGCATTTTTGAGCGTGAGAAATAATAGCGCTGCAGAAGTTGAGAATGCAGCCAAAGAGCTCAAGCGTATTTGCGGGAACAGGTTATCAATTGTATTGATGGTGTTTTTGTCAATCGGAGGTTACACGCTCGGGAAGAGTATGGTCGAGAAAATAGGAACAGATGTTGCGGCTATCTGCAAGCCAGTGATGCACAAGTGTATGATGGACTATGTCTCTAATTTCAACATGTTTTTGGTTAAGCCTGGAGATGAGGATAACAAGGAAACGAAAAATAATAGTATATCGACATACAGTAAATTCTACAATCATAATCGACCTACAGTCTGTTATCCAAAGAAAAAAGATACAAATGAACCAATCATAATTCGAGGTGTTATGCCATCCTCAAAGGATGAGAGCGAGTCCAAATCCAAAGCTGTCAGTACGCAGCTTGTTCCAATGAAGAGTTCTGCTTCTAGCGAATTGAAGGATCAATCTAGTAATGAAGAAAGAGCAAGCAAGTCAAGCAGAGTTGGAGGATTACTCAAATGTATTCTCTGCGTGGTAATGTATTTGTCAGTTTTGCTATTGGATTTCGGCATCGAATACTTGTTAGCTAACAAGTTTATTTGTTTATAATAATATTAGGACGACAACGCGATTAATCGAAAAGTATGTTGCTAATGATTCCTGCTGTTTAATAAGAATATTAATGGATTAATCTGATTATTATTTATTTGTTTAGATCCTCAAAACCCAGCTGGATAGATTAGATTATAATTATTTAACAGCAGAAAACGGAAAGGAAGCAGTTGATTTAGTACGGACGCAGTATGAGAATAGCCAAACCAGTAGCATGGATAGGTTGGAGTCCAAACTGGGGATATCGTTAATTTTGATGGATTGTGCAATGGTAAGGAAGGCATTGATGGTATCGGTTTGATATCAAACGATGATATTCAAAATATACTAATCGTATTCGTTACTATATTCTAATAATTTAGCCTGTTATGTCAGGGTTTGAAGCAACACGAACAATCAGGTCATTAAGTCCGGAGTTTCAGACGCTTCCAATCATTGCATTAACTGCATGCACAATAGCAGGGATGCGCGAACAATGTCTAGAGGCGGGTATGAATGACTATCTAACTAAACCACTCAAGATAAAACAATTGAAGGAGAAGCTGAATGAGTGGTTGGGTGGTGAGAATTAATTTATTATTAAACAAGCATAATTATGAAGTATAGTCTAAATCTATTATTCAGCAACATTATTTATGTACAATAAGATTGGAATTACAAGCTGCATATATACACTAATCATAATTCAGTCTTCTATACTTCAAATTAACTTCGAATATTGTATTATATTGTAATGACTAGAGATGTGTTGGGTGGGCCGCCTGATTTCATTAATCAGCTTTTAGCAATTATGGTGGGGAAATTTGATTTTGAATGCATTTCACAGCTAACCAGTTTTATTATTTTATTAATTGTAAGATTTAATGTTAATGCTTAGTGAGCATTCATTCATAACTTAAGCTGCTGTATTAAAGTTAGTTAAACTATTGTCCATTGTTATGATTCCCAGGTTGGTTTCGGTCCATGTTGACAGGTATTATGAGTATGAAAGAGAAGAACGTGTGCGCGTTTATATCTTGCTGCGCTCCCTTGCATTATGGGGCATGCTATTTTATATTCATTATATAACATCAAGGTCTGTTATAAAAGCATTTGAATGCATATTAATGCCAATAGCTGACTATTTAGCCCATACATCATTCTACCGAACATCACAAAACCGGTCCACACATTATATGATATCCAGATTCTGTGACGTTGCATACTTCTTTGACTCCGTCCTAGTAGATAGACGAGGGTTTTACAGACTGGTATTTCTTCTTTATCGATAGGTAGATCCCTACACGATGAAACGACGAGTTCTAATAATCCATTATCTGACATCGTGAACTTTCTTTCGTGATATCGCATGCGAGATATAAAGTCTTCTCTTCGTTACGTGCTGCATGCCGTCATCATATTTAAGATTGTGGAAGGTGCGAAAGGTGGTGACCATCAAACACTCCTTCAAAAATGCTCGTATTTAGATGTAGGAGTTCGTGTCTGTTTATCGTCGATGATTCGGCCGAGGATTTTGATGTCTTCTTGTAGTTCGAATTTTTCTGTATCAGCGACATGTTTTTTCGGACCAAAAGAAATATACGAATCTTCAAACAAGACTTCTCTCTTGGTTTTATTTGATTCAAGGTATATTTTACCGCCGACTGCTCTTAGACACAGTTCGCTGTATCGTGATGCTCGGAAGTCAGTTATAACCTTTGTCGTCCTTAACGTGCTTTGTATGCTTGTCTGGTATTTCGGCTCTATTTATTTATTTATTTAGTTATTTATAACCGCGGGTCGCAGTACGATGTGTAAACTATGCTCGGCTGGCAGGTCAGTGCGTTACATATGTGGGAGGTGGGGGAGGTGTCACTCCGTTGTTATCCCCAACCCGCCGCTTTCTGCGTACCAGCGTGTTGACAAGTGAGTAAACGTTGTATATGTGGGGAGCGCCACTCCCATTTCCAGTACCGTGTTTGATCGACAAATGATTACACGTATATGTGGGCAATTAAAATAACGACATACTGTATTAATATGTTTCTTTTATTATCATATTAATAGCATCATAAATCTGTAAAACTATAAGTATATATATAGAGAGTACGTTCAACGAATAGCCGTACTAATACTAACGAAGTCAGGAGGCGAACACCCCCGACAAAATTTACATGTTAAACACAACACAGGTCGAAAAATTCAATTTGTGAATTTAAGTACTATTTATACAGCAATTTCGACCTAACGCCGCAATATTAATAACAGTCGTACAATAATTAGTCAAAACTGGCAGTAAGCACGACTTTCCAATAGAATTATCATGTTCGTATCATGTTCCTTAATGTCCTTTAATATGTTCATGTTCTTTAATGTTCAAATAAACGAGTAGTTCTCTAGTAAATTAACGGTATTAGTATAGCTGAGAAACCGTTAATCCCTATATACCGTTTAGGAGTATTCGCCTCTTGTCCCGTAACACTCTTGTAACAATTACGATAAAATTCGTTCAATTAGCAACGCGTTGAGAATTATACGACCATAGACCATCGAAACTAATCCCATCGGCGGATAATACTGAATATACTCGAGAAACAATGTATTTATTGAGGATTAGCGTCTATCAATTGACTATTAGAGAATCGTGAATAGGTAAATCCCGATTGAAAAGTCACTAATTGTCGTGTATTTAACTTAACGAATAGGAGTCGTCATTAAGGTGACACTTGGCCCAGTAGGCACAGTTTCACTGATGAACCTCTGTGAGCATTGGCAATGGTTATAGCCGACTCTAAATGGTACGATGAGACACATCACGTCTGTTAAACTATTCGGATAAATATTGACTTAATACATTTTTATTATAGGATCGGATACGTGTCATAGTGTAGCTTCTCTGTACAGTCGGTCCAACCAACACGGGTATAGCCTTCGGCTATCATCATTCTATCTATATACTATATATTATTACTACCAAAACTACCAATAAAAAAGTAGTAAATAAATATAGCTTAAGAGCACACAATAATGCAAAAAAAGCATGGTAATACTAAATTACCAATACTACCGAAATGTTTTCGAAAAAAAAAGCAATATCCATAATTACCGCAGTAAATAAACAAAATAATTTACCCCCAAATTTTCGGTATCAATTTCGATACCACTTTCCAAACCACATCTAATTTCCACTTCTGTAGCTTTTACCGTTAGTGATACCACAAAAAAGCGCTCGTCAGTGGTACCACACGCTATTATAGTTCCTTGGAACACTTTTAGCAATAAATACACGACCTCAAATCTTTGTTCATCCGACTGAAGGTTAAACATCCGGTCTGAAATCTGTAAGGTATATGCTATAGTACGTGCATTAGCCGGAACATTGGCACCGAATTCGGCCTTAATAGTAATATCTTGAACTGTGGTCTTGAGACGTTCTCAAAAACAATAACAAAGAGCAGGTAAAGATCGATAAACCCATTCAAAGAAATACTGTTGTTACTTCTTTTTCACTAGCGCCATAGTACGACTTTTTAAAATCTTGAAACATTTTATAGGCACAAGAAACCTTGCATTTAACAAAATCTAAGTGCAAGTAAACAGTAGGATAACGGTCGCCGTTTAACACAGCATAAATATTACTGAGATTCACGTTATTAAAAAGAGCATGATTAAAGCGTTGATTAGGATTATTTCCACCAACTACTGCATTTATTGAAATCCAACGACAATCCATCTATTTTTTTCAGCGCCGTGATGTATTTTGAGGCACGTTGAAAACTACAATACAATGTCCGAAAACCCACACCGGTATCGTTTTTTTATATTCTACTATATTGTATAAGGCAACTTTATTATTTACGGATGGAAGGACCTGCGGAACAAACCGACTGAGTTTTTCGAAAAATCGCAAAATCGTCATTAGTACGATTGAGGATGAGGGTATGTTTGACGCCATATAAGACTTTTTATAATCTCACAAAAACCCAAATATATGGCTGAGGCACCGCAAAACTAAAAATACCGCAAGGTCGAGGTTTCACAATGATAATATTTTGCCCAGCATTAATCATCCTATACTTTCATCCAGAACGGCGCCTCCGCTAGTATCTTTATACCAGCGTTGATTCAAGTCCTTCGTCTTACTTTGAATAAGTTGGCAACCGTTTCATTGTAGTGGCATGTCCGGTGTTAAATATTCTTTTAATCTCCCTGTCATTCAGCAGGTATTTCACTTCATGGAATAAAAACACAATTCCATTGTTTGTTAACGCAACAGGCGTTGGGATAACCATTATTATCGACAAGTTTTTGATGTTGATGAAAGAAAAAATTGATTCTGGTTATTGATATCAATAGTTATCTCACTAATTGTATTAATTAATGCGGGATTGCGGGTTCATATTCATGATATTCAATAGACTCCACGGATTTATCATCAATTGGTTCATTGATGTTAAGGTAATTAATCTTCGACAACTAGGCTGTCATTGTATATCTTTTCCTAAACTAAAAAATATTATCATACGTTCAATTCATAATTCTGGTGGACAACTTTTTCAAATTGCGTGTAATATCTTTTGCGAAATTGAAGGGGAATTTGGTTCTTTTACTCTACGCAATTTTCAATGTCCTTTCCTTCTGCGTGACACTGACGTTGTTTGTTTTTAAACACTAATATTTTACACGCCTAATATGTAATCGGGTATTTATAATTTTATCATCACAAAGGGTCAGTGAGCCATACGTTCATTTGCCGAATTTGGTCTGTGATCAATAATCAATGGCAGATAAATAGGTTTTTGGCTGTTTCAACGGCGGTAACGCTTTGGGATAGAAACTATATATAAAACCGGATAAGAAATGCCATCAAGGCAAGACGACGAAATCAAGTCTCAGTTGACCATAATACTATTAATAGATTGTAATTTGACTGGATAATCTGAATTTAGATTATATCCATCGTATATTTGTCTTGACCCAAACCCGAGAACTGCTCTTATACTAGTATTAGCGAAATCGATTGCAAAGTTTTGATCGTAAATCTCTAATGAGACGCAAACCGTTTTTCGTTATAATTAATTGCCATGATATCATTATCTCTCTCTTTGTTCCAATAACCAAGAGTTCTTAACAAGTTGTTAACCTCTTCATTAATCTGATGGATGCTATGAAATCCCACTGGTAACCTTAATTCAGCCAATTCTCACCTTCATCATAGCTATAAGTAAAGGTATTATTAGATTTGGGATCGAATTACGCGTTTCGAGATTAACTAGGGTCATCTCATACGTGTATGATTCCGAGAATGGTTGATCATTTAAAATGATCGGTGGTGAGAAATTGGTTGCCCGTGTTGGTTGGACCGACAGTGGGGAGAGGCTACACTATGACACACGTATCCTTATAACTTATTATATAAGAAGTATAGAATATTTGAGTATTGAGTATGATTGGCATGTACAGAAAATTCGAACCTGAAATAAATACATTCTGTTATTAGTGTGGAGCACCAAGACCTCTTCTTTGGATTCATTTATTATAAAGTTATGGAGGAATTTGGAGTTTACATTCGATGCATTTATACAATAGATTGAATATTCTCGACTGATAGATGTACAAACAATAACATCATTACGCCATGGGATGCACACTCTAACTTATAGTAAAATGGTTAGAACTGACGACAAATGAATGAACACAAGTGACACTCAAGCAGATAAGTTGATGCTAATTTTTATCAGGATCACTGAAGACTGATAATGCTTGGAATATCGATATAACTCAAGAGCTATCTAACTCGACAATATTATTGGTACGAGGTGGGTGTAATAGTATACAAATACGAACCAATGCAAATGTAAGGTATAACAGTATGCGGACTTTGACGAATTTAAGAGATTAAATCTGGCGGGTAAAAACTATGCCAGCAGTTTCTGTACTCAAACGCGTTAATAGCCTTGATCAGACGCCGGAATTATTGGCTTCCAAGGTAAGCGAATTTGATTTTATTAATTATCTCGTTCTTTGCATATATACTCTTCTAGTTTTTTACCAAGCTCATTTATTTTCCCTCCATTTTATCCATTTTATCCATTCTTCCTCCATTTTATCCATTCTTCCCTCCATTATCTCCATTCTTCCCTCCATTTCCTCCATTCTTCCCTCCATTCTCTCCATTCTTCTCTCAATTCTTCCCTCCATTCCCTCAATTCTTCCCTCCATTCTTCCCTCCATTCTCTCCATTCTTCCCTCAATTCTTTCCTCCATTATATCCATTCTTCCGACAAGTCTTTTTTCAACCCTTTCCACTATTGTTTCAATTTTAGAATCCACTATATAATCGGCTGTCCACGTCAGGCACATCAGGCCGACCATCCACCACCATATGGTGACGCCGGAATCGCTCCCGTTGTTAGCGATATCTAAAATGTAATATTGCTTGTATTGGTGTCCTACAATACTAGAAAGAGACACAGTACATTACTCACGGTGTTTGTTATTCTCGTTTACCGTCGAGGATAAGAAGCGGCGCCCGTTTCTGAAAGACGTATTGCGGTTTACAATATTTCTGAAGGACATCTTGCGGTTTACAATATTTCTGAAGGACATCTTGTGCGGGTCTGTTGCGGTGTTGGAGGTTTAAAGAGATTTGAGAGATGAGAGATGAAAGAGAGATGTGTTTACAGTTATTGTTATCGGGTTATTATTGTTAACATTGCTCTTTTTGGAAAAGGAGTGACCTCCGCCACTCACGTTACTGTATATAATTAGGCCTACAGTCACTGGTCTTGTTGCATCGGGCTAACCAAAATGAGTACTGGCAATACAGTGAAGTCCGCTTTAACATGTTAAAGCGGGCTTTTATTATTATAACAAATTTTTGTTCGCGAGCGGTCAACCGTTTGGGTCTTTCAGCGTTCTTTGTTCTTATATATAAATTCGCACAACTGAATAAAATTCTTCGTTATTATTGTATCAGTATACAGATTTTAATTATAAAACTCATTTGGCTTTAGCCGGTAGTTTTTACTTAGAGAGTATAAATAAACTCGTTCCGAAAATTTTTCATGAAACCAAAATTTGTACAATAGTACTCAAAATCTGATTGGCATTCGATAATCATCTTGATAGAGAATTGATGACGCACTTTTATCACGGTATAATACTAACGACAGAAACCTTTTACGGTATTAGTATGGTGCAAGTCATCTATACTCGACAATCACGTGATTTGTTTCAATTTTAATTGACCAATAATATTGTATATTAATATGATAAGCAAAAATGAAACATGCTTTTCTTCAAAAGATAATAATAATATATTTAGTTTCGATCTACCAGGTTTAACCAATTATATGCTACTAATATAATCACGTGGTTGAATTAACATAAGAACTTTAAATCCCTAAAACATTTCACAAAAAAATTTAATCAAAAATCTGACCGGTAACTTTGTAGAGTTTGTTATGAAGAACAAAGTTACCGGTCAGATTTTTGATATCTTATCTGTGTAAGAAGTTGAAAGACTTTAAAAATGCCATCACTTGCACCATATTTAGTTCGATCTACCAATTTTAACCAATTATATGCTACTCACATGATCACGTGGTTGTTTCAATTTTCAATTAACACAAGAACGTTAAATCCCTAAAACTTTTCACAAAAAAATCTAATCAAAAATCTGACCGGTAACTTTGTAGAGCTTGTTATGAAGAA